TAATAAATGTATACGAATGATAAATGTTAAAACACCTGTAACCAAACGACATGCTGTATGTGATGATGGGGGGTTTTGTGTGTTTTTTTTTTCTTTGTTTTTTGTTTTTTTTGCTTTTTATTATTGTATGTATGTGTTGTCTATGTAATAAAAATAAAACAAATTATTTTAAAAAAAAGGAACTGGAAAGGATGTGGAAAGTTAAGACCAAAGTGGTCCTTGTGATGATAGAACTTTGGAGCTGTTGTCTCCTAATCTGGGTTACTTCAACAGAACCTAGGTACAACATTTCTGCCCAGTACTAGAAACAATTAAGATACAGTGCAGGACCCTCAAGCTCCCTGGCCTCTGGTAGAAGACCAAGATCAAGGAAGGCACAGACCACCATAACGGTGAGAAAGGAATTGATAGATGATGAAGAAAAGAGAGAGAGAGAGAGAGAGAGAGAAGAGGGAGTCCTTGGTGTGTCTGAAGTTGCTTATTCTTTTGTAGATGTTTCATTAGCCTAACTAGGTAACATAATCAGTACTACTAAGGAGTGCTGTTTGCTGTCAGTTTATATTCTGGTGTCTTGCCTATCTGTGTGTGGGGGGGGAGGCGGTCTTGGGGTTCTTTGGTTGGGTTGTTTACTGATGGTTCTTTGGCATGTTCCTTAATTGGGGCATTGGGGTACTTTAATTACATAACATAAAGACATATTTAACCATAGTTTCAATTGGGAAAATGTGACAATCCTAGACCAGGCCAAGTTCAAAAATGCCAGGGCATTTCTAGAAGCCTGGCACTCTGACAAATCAGCTATCAATACACACATAGACATTAAGAACATCCATAGTGTGCAAAAGAGACGATCAACCAGCCCAAAAGAGAAAAAGACTCCACCACCTCTCCACCAGTAACCAGCACTCAGATCAGCATATATTAATTCCAAGGTCAACTTCAGGCAAACAATCAAGATAACAATACCCCAAAGAAGAAACTGCCAAACACCTATCAGTAAACAGCCCAACCAAAAAATTTCTGACCACTGCCAGCCATGCAGACAAGCATGTCACCAGAATATAAACTGACAGCAAACAGCATTCCTTATTAGTACTGTTGTTACGGTAATGAAACATCTGCAAGAAAACAAGCAAGCTCAGAGAGCACCAAGGATCCCAATATTCTCCTTTATTACATGATAGACAGACAGAAAGACAGACGGACAGACAGAGACAGTGCGTTTCCCCCCAAATAAGGCCCAATCTTATATATTTTTCTTTCAAAGAGCCACTAGGTCTTATTTTCAGGAGATTTCTTGTCTCACCTCATGGCGGCAACAGCACTGACAGCCCTGCCTAACAAGAGCCCATGTGCCAGCCCACTTTTTCTGAGGCTGCTTGCTGCCGCTCAGCCGTTGGCCCCAGCTTCCATTTTGCTGTCAGATGCCTTCAGGAAAGGCCCAGAAAATAGGCTCTGGAATTACATGTGTGGTGCCCCCAACCTTATTTTGCTGTTAGAGGACTTCAGGAAAGGCCTCTGCAGTCAAGAAACACGCATGTTAATCCAAAGCTATTTTATCAGCTATAGAGGCCTTTCCTGAAGGCCTCTGACAGCTAAACAGAGGCCAAGGGGCAATTGTTCTGACCTAGGCTTCCCAAAAGCACAAAGTTTTATCATCCTGATAAAACCCCTTTTATTTAGTTTAAAGAGAATTCCTCTCCAACAAAGTCCCAGCCAACAGTCTTTCAAGAGATTTCAAAACTACAGACTTTTACCAGATTTGGAGAGCTGCCAGACTGATATCTTCCAAATGCCATTCTGTAGCAGACAATACTTGGCAAGAAGTCAGGAACAGATCTTTACCCTAATGAATTAAACTAATTGTCTCCTGCAAATTCAACTCCCATTTCGCTCCTTTTTATTCCCCATTCACTGGGAACAGGCTCCAGCTGTTCTTCTGCCCAACTGATGTCCAACTTCAAAGGCAGCTGATAACTGTCAGACGGCCCTGGCCCCATCTCTGCCTCTGATGCAGAGCACTCATCAGAGCCTGCCCCAGACTCAACCTCCTCACTGTCTGAGTCTGCCACCAGCTCCACTGGCGGGCCATAACAGCAATGGGCACAAGCGGTGGCAAGCAACCACAGAAGTGGGCCAGCAAGGTGAGGCAGGTGTCGGGGTGTGCAAGCCCTGGCTGCAACTGTCCAAAGTAAGCAGCTCCACCCCCACCCTCATCTCTGTCCTAGCTTGAATTTTTACCCATGTGCCTCAGCCCACCCCATGCAACCAGGCACAATGAAATAGATGGGGCCTTAACTAGGGCCTATTTGGGGGGCAGGGCTTATTTTTCAGGAAAACACAGTAGGCAGGCAGGCAGGCAGGCAGGCAAACAGACAGAAACAGAAAGACAGAGGGCTTTAAGTTAATTTAACTTACTTTAATATAATTAAATCTAAATTCCTTTTCCATTCTTGCTCTATATATATTTTGATAGGCTTTAGGTGGCACAGTGGTTAGAACGCAGTACTGCAGGCTACTTCCACTGATCACCAGCTACCAGCAATTTGGCAGTTCGGGTCTCACTGGCTCAAGGTTGACTCAACTTTCCATCCTTCAGAGGTTGGTAAAATGAGGACCCAAATTGTTGGGGGCAAAATGCTGACTCTGTAAATTGCTTAGAGAGGGCTGTAAAACACTGTAAAACAGTATATAATCTAAGTGTTATTCCTATTACTTTACTTACTTGCATTGGAATGAACATAACTCAGAGGACAAGTATGCCCGTTGGATTGAAAAAAAGAGTGTCCTGACATTTATTTTACATTACATTTATCAACAGTATTTTTCTCTCAATTCAATAAATAGAAAATGCAAAAATTTATACACTAAAAATATTCTAATAATTACTGAACCATTTACTAATAAAATTATATGAACTTCAAATGCAGATGTTCCTAAATTTGTACATCTAATGTTTTATAGGCTCAGCTTATGGCTTTATTAAAGGAAGAAAATTAAGGGGGAAAAGTTGCTCCCATCAAACGTATCTGGGTGAAATTCTTAATTTATTTTATTGGTTTATTGTTTATTTCCTGGAGAAAATCCATCTATATGGTTGCTAAAACTGACACCAACTTGATGTACATAATCAATCTTATTAATTACTAATATATTTATACCCAGAAATTTAAAAAGCTTTCTAACAAAAAAGCTACTGGAAAAAGTAGCCAAGGAGTGCTAGGAATATATACAGAATATATTTGATGCTTAATTACATGCTTACCTGGAATCAAATACTGTTCCATCAAGAAGAGTACCATTATAGTGATACCTGAGGAAGTCCCCAATTTGGGTGTGACGTTCACACAACTTTGGCACAAACAGTTTTTCTATATTAACCCTGTCTTTAGGATTGTGTAGATCTAGAAGAGCTACATCAAAGACAAGAGAAGCTTGGCCAGGTATTTCTTTCCCTGTAAACAAAGTATACAGAAAATAAACAAACAATGAATTTTTGAATATCATTTGGTGTACCTTCTTTTGGTATCAGTTTGAGGCTATCTGCATAATGTTCACTATTGGAAGGAATAAAACTGGCATAAATCCAGTTTTGATCTCCTGTTTGTTGTTGAACTTTTAGACCTTATTCTGCAGTTTTTAATTATGCAAATATTCTTGAGTAGATAAAGGCCTTGCTACCCTACATGAACACCTCCAAATGAAATTGATTAGTCCATCTCTATTGCAATGTTCCTTCATGGAGACAAGATATATATCCAAATTTAAAGGGATCTCATATTATTTAAATAATATTTATGTATATATTATTTAAATTTAATAATATAATTAGATTTCCAAGTTTTCCTGTTTCTGTGGTATCAATTTCATTTTAAATTAAAAATCTGTTTTGTTGGAACATATCCAATTCAAATGCAAATAAATCTTATTTGTGATAAAATAATGGGGAAGTCATCTTCTGGAGTCTGCTGTTATTTTTCATCTTTCTTGGTGACTTTTCTTTATTATGCTCCTTCCCCTTCCTCCCTTGTAACAAGGAAAAACAAAGTTATCCTTTAAAAATGTCTTTGTATTAAGCAAGTTAAAAATAAGATGTTTATTAAAGTTAATGAATTACATAAACACCATGTGCAACATCCCAAAACGAATTATGTAAAAATAGTTTAAATCATATAATAGAGGAAAAAAGGATGAAATTTTAGATGCTCCACTACTTTCAATGGCGTTTAATTTTAATAATATCTAATTTGTAATACTGATTTTTATAAATGTATATGATTGTATATATGATGGTTTTGCTTACATTGTTTTTTTTATGAAATATTGCATGCCACCCAGAGAATCTTTGGTCAGATGGGCAGCCATATAAATTTAATTAATAAAATTAGCCACCCAGAGTAATCCTTGGTCAGATGGGCGGCGATATAAATTAATAAAGTTAACAACAAATAAATTTTATGTTGTTCAATCATAACACTTATTTGTATTAGAGCACATGCCAAACACAAGGCCAGTGGGGCAGATTTGGCCTATGATGGACACAAACCCTGGAGGTGGCAAGGGACTGTCCCCTGCCGCCAGTCCACCCCAGCCAGACGCCCCCACAGCACATGCACAGGAGGCAGCAAGCATCTAGGGGCTGGCAGTGTCCGGCAGCAGCAGCAACCCACCGGCCCTTCTCAGCCTACATAGCTCAGTTGGGGGACGGAGCACTATACCACTGGGCCAGCTCTCTAAGCAGCAGACGGAGACAGTGGCATTCGGGAAATGCTTCACATTGGACGGCCACCTACCCACCACTGTTTCACCACCTGTCTTCACTTGCCTGTAGCTGCTGCAGCTGGGACAGGGCAGGTGTCCGGCTGGCTAGACCGTCTGGTTCCCCCCCCCCCATGCCTCTACCCCCGCCTGCTGCCGATGCCAGGCAAGTGGCGGGGCAGGGTTGGTGCCGCGTCATGACCACTGCACACTCAGCCTTCGCCAGCCAATCTCGTCTTCTAGTTCTGCCACACAGAGCTAGAATGAGCTAGAAGGCTCAGAGCATGATGAGCTTTCCACCCAGTGTCCCACCATGACGGCCCCAGCAAACAGAAACAGTGGGGAGCCCCAATCCCCAAGAGACAACTGAGACTTCACAGTCCATACAGTGCAGGTGGGTCTGAACACTGGGATCGCTGGGCCGATCCTCCAAGCAGCAGGCAGAGGCTTGGTAGGACGAGGCACATGATCCAGGCAAGCAAAGACAGATGTTGGGGTCATGGTGAGGCAGCCCAGCCAGTCCCCATCACCTCCACACCGTGGCCCTTGCACACTCAGCCCCCAACATTCAACTTCATTCTCCAGCAAGCTTGTCCCCTGCCCACCCATCCCCAATGACCCTGGCAATGGGGAAGGGCAGGGAACAGGCTTGCTGGAGGACTAGGTTGGACAAGGGCTGAGCACACAGGGGCCACAGTGTGGTGGTGACAGCAACTGGCTGGGCTGCCTCATTGTGACTGCACCATCTGTCTTTGCTCTCTTGTGGATCAAGCCCCAGCATCAGCCCTGGTCCCACCCCCCTATATCAAAGACACCTGAATTCCTCAGGCCTGCCTAGTCCCCCACAGGCAGCCCCCAACGCGAGCAACATTGAACTGGCCACACCCACCTAGTCAACGGTGACCACCTAATCATGCCCACCTGAGGTCAACTGCAATGCTGATGCGGCCCTCAATAAAATTGAGTTTGAGACCCCTGCTTTAGAATGCCAATTAGGAATGAGTAAACTTTCAGATTAATCAAAATACAGTAAAAATCCTGCCGATTTCTCTGCAAAAAAGCAAAATAATTTACCATCTCCATCCTCTCCATATGCCAAGAAAGGTGGTACTGTGATTATGCGCTTTTCTCCTACACACATTCCAAGAAGACCTTTGTCCATTCCAGGGATTAACCACCCAATTCCTACATAAGTGTCATAAGTTCGCATTCTATTGTGACTGAAGATATAAATAAATACCAGTGAATTCCAGATCTCTTCATTTTAGTGCAGAGTAAAAAAAAAACAAGAGAATGAAATATAACAAAACAAGAGAATGTGTATTTGCCTTGTTCTCAACACACACAAAAATTTTATTTTACTAGAACTATTCATGGTATAATTCAAAAGACTACATAGAGCGTGGACAAGCAGTCGTTAAAGGTCCAATCCAAGTGTCATGGATGGCATAAAAATCAATACATCATGAAAAAGAGTTTTACAGATGGCAAAAAAGTTAATATTTTTAATTACGCACTGAATTAATAATAAAAATACCTCATGCTTTAGATCTGAAGGAAGAAAGATGCACCAGATTATGTGGAGGTACCACTTGGAGACAGTCTTACTTTGGTACCTCCATAGTCTGGTGCACTATGTTTGTCCAGATCCATGTAATAGCCTTCCATAGCTGCAGTGTGAAATCTAGAAATACACATTTGTTTCAGGAGTTGCAAACAAGTATTAGATATATGTACCTTTCTGCCATCAAATATAAAACACTGAACTTTTCATAAATTCTTCCTTTTATTAGTCCTTTATAGTATTTAGTTAATATTTGCAATGATAGTACACAAACAATGGAAAAAGGAGACAAAAAGGGCCTTAGAGGAAATAAACAAGAAATTTATAAGCATTACCAAACTAAAGGAGACTGAACTTCATTATCAGGATTTTTTAATATTTCAACATTTTAAATGACTAATATTATTTTATTTTATTTTTAAAATTAAGTAATGCATAAATATTAACAGCAAGAATCAGCACAGTATAAATAAATATAATAAGATGTATATATTTCTATTCAAGCAGTGCAAATGTTAACCTTATTTAACAGATCACTGAAAATTAAAACATTGATTTTATTCTAGTAGAAATTTACAAAACCAAATTGTTTCCAAGTTGGATTTAACATTTAATTTGACTGGATAACGTCATCCAGCGAAAGGATATAAGGAAGAAAAAAAGCTAATACTGTTTCTTTGTTCATTTGGGGCCTGCATTGCACATCTGTACAATCATATATGTTTATATCCCACCAATATATGAAAAAGGCAAAATATTTTATTGATACCTTGAGTCAAATAGTGTTCCATCTAAAAATGTTCCATTATAATGGTATCTTACAAAATCAGACACCTGAATTGTCCTTGTACAATTTTCTGGCTTGTGATAAGTCTGAATTTCAACTTGGTCTTCAGAATTCCAAACATCAACCAGAAGGACATCAAAATTCAGAACAGAATTTGCAGGAAGTACACTGGCTGGGGATGCAAAAGATATTAAAAAGGAATTGAATCTAATTATTCACCAGCTACAAGTATTTTTTTTAAAAAGGCTATTTTTCTGATTATTATATCCAACATCCTGTACCAGCAATAGAAAGAAATGCAGAGAAAGCGAATTCTTTTTTTTTTTTTTAGATTTATATACAATGCAACAAATATATTGTATTTCCCCCGTAAATAAGACTGCATCTTATATTTTTGGGGCCATCAAAAAAGGCACCAGGTCTTATTTTCGGGGAAGTCTTACTGTATTTTTACTGTATAAGACACACCTTTTTACCTCAAAAAAGAGTGTGAAAATCTGGGTGCGTCTTATACTCCAAATGTAACACCACCCCACCACCCCACCCAATCCGCATGTCTCATTTTCGGGTGGTTCCAGGCTGCGGGGATCCTCACCTCCACTCGGATTTCGATAACAATCTTTTTATCCATTTAAAACAAACTCTATCACCCTATGCTATTTAACTGGAGGGGTGGGATGGGGAATGATTTTCATGAGGGCAGAAGAGGGACTTGGCACCAAAGGCTCCACTCCCGAGACTTACCTATAACCGTAGGCATTGAAAGCCTGGCTTTCTTGCAGGAAGCCTGATAAGAGACGCAGCCCTTTAGTTCTTCTGGATGCTGCCATCTCATAAACACATTGCCGGGCTTCCCAGCAAGCCCCCTACACCTTTGCTGCTTTCCGAAGTGGCCCTTGGAAGCATGAGGGTCATGATTTGGTTGGCGAAGCGGGAACTGTGCAGGAGGCATAAGACAGTTGCCGTGATCTCCACCACCTGGAATGCCTTTGTTTCAGATCTGCTGCTTTCTTCACGCCCAGTTGAAAATCCACCACACTCTTCCCTACATATTTATACAATAAAGAGTGTTTTATTATCATGACAGCCATTTGAGCAAAAGATGAATTGCCTCCGCTTCTGATTGTGCTCCATCTGGATGGACAAGCTCCCACTGCCAGGCTCCCCCCTCTCCCCTGCTGCTGGCTGCTTTGTCTTTGTCCACGCATGATGGGGAAGAGCTCAGAGGAGAGCTTGGGCAAGGGGGAAAGAGCATGGAATGGGGATACATCCCCCCCAATCCTGATTAAGCAGTCCTTGCAGGGGAGCAATTTGTATGGTTCTCCTACCAGGAAACTGGAGGGGGGGGAAGAGAGAAACCCTTCCGGCTGTAAAGCCTGTACTCGGTGACAGGAGCCAAAGCAGCCTTTTGCACACTAGGTTTTTGATATCAGGAAGGAAAGCTTTTTTGGGTGGCACTGCCACTATTCCCTCCCCGAACGTGGGCACTGCAGACTCACATTCTCTTTCCTCCTGGCCAGATCTGCCACCTGAAACGCCTTCATTTCAGAACCATAGGCCATTTTTGCAATTGGGGAGGGAATAGTGGTGTTGCCACCTGAAAAAGCTTCCCCCCCCCCCCGATACCAAAAACCTTCACAGCAGGAGGCCCCCCCCACTCTTCCCATTGCAAAGTTTCTTGGTAAATGGCTGTCATGATAATAAAGCTGTCTTATTGTATAAATATGTAAGGAAGAGGGTGATGGATCTTCAACCAGGCGTGAAGAAGGCAGCAAATCTGAAATGAAGGCATTCCAGGCGGTGGAGATCATGGCAACTGTCTTACGCCTCCTGCGCAGTGCCCGCTTCACCAACCGAATCTTGACCCTCATGCTTCCCAGGGCAGCTTTGGGAAGCAGCAATGGTGTAGAGAGCTTGCTGGGAAGCACAGAACATGTTTATGAGATGGCAGCATCCAAAAGGACTAAAGTGCTGCATCTCTATTGGACTTGCTGCAAGAAAGCCAGGCTTTCAATGCCTGCAGTTATAGGTAGGTAGACGGGGCATCTCGGGAGTGGAGGCAAGTCCCTCTTCTGCTCCCATGAAAATCATACCCCACCCCACCCCTTCCAGCTAAATAGCATAGGGTGATAGGGTTTGTTTCAAATGGATAAAAATATTATTATCAAAATCTGAGTGGAAGTAAGGATTCCCGCAGCCTGGAACCACCCAAAAATGCAAGGCACAGAGGTGGCGATGGTATGTGGCAATCCCTGCAGCCTGGAACAGTTGGTTCCACCTGCTGTTTGCCTCAAGAACGCTAGCCAGATTAATACTGATGGATCCTGGTAGGCAGAGGCAGAAACTTTTTTTCTTGTTTTACTCCCCCAAAATTAAGGTGCGTCTTATACTCCAAAAAATATGGTAATTCCCTCCCCCCATGTAACGGGAAGAAGGGGTAAGCTGCCCCTCATGCCTCCTTGCCTAACGGTCTTACTAGTTGCTCGGTCCATGGAACAGCTGATCTGTGGATGATCAGCCGATTGAGGCTGCAAAAGCAGGAGGCCCCACGTGCCCTCTTCAATATCAGTCTTAGTGCACCAGCAACTTGGTCAGGAGACCAAGCGAAGGCACCAACTGTCTTCCTGAAACAGCTGATCTGTGTGTGCACTCCTGGTGTCACCTCCAAGAAGCACAGCTTCAATTGACTGCAAAAGCAGGAGGCTCCTTGGGCCTCACAACCCCTTCAAGAACAGGCCGAAAGTTTCAGATGGAGTCTTTTTGGGATGTGTGTTTGTGCTGGACTCAAGGAAGGACAATTGGCAGGAAAAGGGGGGGGGGATTTTACTGCCAATCACCATTTCCTTGAACCCTGCCATGGGTGAAACACGGTATTAGTTATCATATTTTAGACAAAAGATAAATCATAATACAATTTTATTTCTGAAAAATTACAGTAAATTTTTATAAATTCACCATTTTTAATCATCTAATGTCCATCCATTAGGCTAATACAATGAATTTGGACCTTATTTTTTCAAGAAATCAATTCTAAGTATGACTAAACTAACACAATAACAGAATCTATACAACTTACAAATTTACACTAAAACATTGTTTCTTAAAATATGGTCCTAGGACCCCTGGGGGTTCCTCAAGGTTTGCATAATCAAAGTATTTGCTCATATATTAAAAATAATACAATATTACAATTCCCATTAAATGATCATAAGAACCAGTAGCAAAAGTGAATACATCAATTTTGATTTTTAGTATGGCAAATGTGAATAAATACAATGCATATTAATAAAATCTCTTTAGGAATTTACCATACATTTTTAAAGTGAGAAGATTAAAAATTTAAGAAACACTATATTAAGACATCCATCACAGTCTACACAAACTATAAAAGTTGACTATCACAAGATGCTAAAACAGGCAAACCAGAGTGAGTTAGAAAAACCAAAATATAATGCAGATTTAGACAGAAACTATTTTAAGTCCATTTTCGCAGTGAGCTGCTATTCTTTATTTTTGCTTTTCCTGCTGATGTACAGCAATGTAAGACACTGCTATATATTCCCAAACGAAACTTACTTTGGGAAACTATAGGATATAGTCCTGAAAATTTTAGCATAAGCTTGCCTTTTAATTACCTTTGTTTGTTTAATGTATTAATAATGGGCCAAGAGAAAAGTATACGTTTATTATTTACCATGTTTCCTCAAAAATGGGCTTGAAAATAAGCACTCGGGCTTAATTTTGGAAAGGTCTTATTTTTTTTAACATGGAGGCATCGAGTGTGAGGGCTGACAGGAGTGGGAGTGCAGCTACCGCTGGCCCCGCCCTCTCCATCCCACTGTCTGCTTGCCCAAGGCTGCAATGGGCCAAGTTATCAGCACAACGCGACCTTCATTATACCAGGCAGGACCAGCCCAGAAGGACAACTGAGAGCAGGTTGCCGGGAGCCCATGCAAGGCCAGCAGCAGCATGGGCAGCCACTTAACCATTTTAGGACTTGTGGATTCCAATTTCCAGAACCCCCCTAGCCCCCCCCCCAATTTTATTGCTGATTTTTTTCCTTGTGCCGAAGACGTACAGAGGGAGGTGTTAAAAATTAACATTTCAGAAATGTTACCTGCGGACGTCTCCAGTACAACGCTCTGCCGCAGCTGCGCAGCATTACAAGGCTGGAGGGCTTGGCTCCCCCCCACTTATGTCCACCTGCTGGGCCTGTTGTTGCTGGCCTCGAGGGGCCTCATTGCCCTTCTCACTGCGCTGCTCTCAGCAGCCCTACTGGGTTGTTTCTGCCTGGCATGGGGCAACTAGGCTCAGATATCCAAAGCCCCTCCCACAACAATCAACAGAAAAATCCCCCCACCCATTTTCATGCTGATTGTCCTTCTTTGGGGAGCCCTGGACAAACATACATCCCAAAAATGCTCAATCAGAAGCCTTCAGCCTTGCTATCCTGCGCAGGGAAGGCAGAGGTTTGCTCTAAAGCTGCGGCAAAGCATTATACTGAGAGGCCTCCGCGGGTAACATTGAGTTGTGTGTCTTGCACCAATGATAGGGGTGCAGGCCGGGGACTCGGCAGCCAGGGAAGACAGGGTTTTGGGGTGTAAAGGAAGAAGGGGTGATCTCACTTCCCTCCTCTGTCCCACTGTAGGGCCGCAACGGAGCTTACACATGGCAGCGCAACCACTGGCAAAGGGGGCCCTGACAGGCCAGCAATGGGTGACGGGCTCCAGAGATCTGGGCCTAGTTGCCCCATGCCAGACAGGAGCAGCCCAGCACGGCTGCTGAGAGAAGTGCAGCCAGGACGGCGATGAGGCCCCGTGAGGCCAACAGCAGCTATGCAGCAGGCCCAGCAGCCAGGGAGAGGTAGGGGGAGCCAATACTAATGCACTGCATGGCTTTCTGCCTGGTTGTAGTAGCAGCTTGAACATGACCCAAGCTCCAGGCCTGGCGGAACACAAACGATAGTCATAATTTTGGCGATACACAATATATGTTTGATTTAGATACTTAAAACTTATAACATCTTTATTCTCAAAACATAATTAGAATCATAGCATCTGCTATTAAAAATGACCACATACAAAATAACACCAATGTCTCATTTATGAAAGCAATGAAGAAAAAAAACATTTAGCTATACAGTTTTTCTTTCCAATATTTTCAACAAAACTAAAACTTCTAACTTGAAAGATACAGGTAGTCCATAAATTACAACAGTTTGTTTAGTAAATGTTTAAAACTACAATGGCACTGAAAAAATGGCTTATGACCATTTTCACATTTACAACCATTGCAGCATTCCCAAAGTTACATGATCAAAATTTAGACTCTTGGCATTTATTACCCTGGGGCATGTGATCACTTTTTACAACTTTCTAACAAGCAAATTCAATGGGGAAACCAGATTCCCTTAACAACTGTTAACAAGCACAATGATTCACTTAACAATTGTGACAAGAAAGGTTGCAAAATGAGACAAAATTCAATTAACAACTTTTTGCTTAGTAACAGAAATTTTGGACAATTGTGGTTGTAAATCAAAGACTACCTGTCCTTCCAGATTTGGGTTAAGTTCTTGAGTGCAGATATAAGAAACAAATCAAACTGTCCTCCAAGTAATTCCTGTCACAACAAAAAATTTTTATGAAAAGCTGTTTTTCAAACCATGTTAAAAAATGACTCTTAGACTAGTCAAGTGTTTTAATTTAGTGAGTTACAGGGGTATTACGGAAAGAATTTTCAAAAAGTCATGTGACTATGACTATCTGATTAAAACATCACTATTTTTTAGATGCACTGCACATGTGACCTACATTAAAGAGGTATGGTATTTCAATCACAAACCATTTCTGACCTGTTACCTGTAAACAATCCTAGTGAGTTACAGGAGAAATTATTAAAAGGTGGAACAAAAGTATAATCAGCCCAAAGTAAAATACGCACTGTATTTTTCAGTGTATAACACGCACCAAAATTTTGAAGAGGTAAAATTTTTAAAAAAGTTTTTGCATTCTGCAGACCTCCGAGCCCTCTGTACACTTCATTTTTTATGAAAATGGAGCATGCAGAGAATTTGAGAATCCTGCAAAGTGCTCCAGGGGGCTGAGGGGAGGAAAGGAAGAAAAATTGCCTCATTTTTGTTTTGTTTTTTGCTAAAACGGGCCCGCTTTTTGCCAAAAAAAGGAAATGCTTTTAGGAAATGTATAACTTTTAGGCGGCTTATAGAGTACTCTCGTATTCATTCATTTTTGCCCTCCCCAGCCCCCAGGAGCACTTTGCAGGGCTCCCAAACCCTCTGCTCATCCATTTTTGTGAAGGGGGCAGGGTTTTGGGAGGCCAAAAATGCTGCATTCAGTGTATAAGACACATTCAGATTTTCAGCCTCTTTTTTAAGGGAAAAATGTGTGTCTTATACTCCAAAAAATACAGTAATAATGTGTTCTGTATGATGTTTATAATGTGTTATCACCCATTTTAATTCCATTTTAATACCTAAATTAAAAAATAAATGTAATGTTTAAACACAAATAGCTAGTGACTATTTTGGCCTACTATCATGGCAGCGAATATTGCTACTGCGTCTTACTATATAACTTTCAGAAACTGGCTTCTTCAGATGTCTTCAGTTTGCAACTCAGAATTCTGTTTCCAATGCTGGAAAGTAGGTGAGGCTATACTGTATTAATCATGATGCAATCTTTTTTTGCATCAAAGAATAGTAGAATATTAAGAAATGTTGTGTATTATTTGCACAAATAAAGCAAAACTACTTCCTTTTTTTCCTAAAGAAATTATCAAAATACTCACCAAGTCCTTTCAATGATTTTAGAAAGGAATTGAAGGAGAGAAAATTTTGAACACTGAGAACTTAAATATCTTATTTCAATAAAATTAAACCAGTAAGGCATCATAGCACCATCAATATTAGTAAGACTCTCGAGAAGGAGGAGCCAACGTTGTAACGACACATCGCGCTGACTCGACAGTCCGAGTCCGCCAATGAAACTTTTGTCCTTGGACGGTCCGGTAGGACCTAAAACATCCCAAAGAGACAATGACAGGGAAGCCAAAACCTTGCTGGTCACAGGGACACCGCAAAGTCCCTGATTGACCCAAGGGTAGTGCTTCCAACCGAAGACAAACAGACAGCCCCCAGGCTGGCATAGTCGGAGACGGCTCCCGAAGGAAAAGACGAAGCAAAAGCGTTCCACCTGGTGAGGGTTTTTTTTTCTTTTTTTACTTTCAGAAGATCTGCATTAAGAAACTTTTTTCTTAAAAAAAAAAATAATAATAATAACTAGTCCTCAAAGTAGGAATAAAGCGGCGAATTTGATACTTATTGGACTGCTACTAGAGAAGCATCTTCAAAAACTGTTGGCAGGAAAATAATCCCATGCTGGAAGGACTCGAGGGTCAGTTGAAGTTCTAAGTAGCTCTGTGTCCCCAAACTCCGTGTAACTTCAAATACACACTTCCAGTGTTGTTAACTTTTGCGTGCATTTTGTTCCTGCCTCAATGTGACAGGGCCGAAGTTTAGCATTGCCCAGTCAACAAAATGACCTTTAAGCAGTGATGGCTTCTATAATTTAGACAGCACAGTGGTTTCAGGAGAATAAATTGATACTGTACCAAAAGTACAGAAGATGACTTGCGTGAGAAAGGCTAGGTCTTGACACT